CTGGCTGAGGGGTAGGTGTGCACCACCTTGGCAGAGCATGGAGCCATGACTGCCAGTGCAGTGGGGGGATCCCTGGAGCGCAGAGTTGAGTGTCCTGGCAGACCCCATCCTCCTCTCACCTGCACCACCCCTTGCCAGGCTCCAGGCAACCTGCAGCCCCTTGTTCCTGCCTGTGCCAGGCAGCTGGCACAGGAGCTCCTAACCAGAATTGAGCTCAGGGGAGAGGCCATGCAGGGCAGACTGCAGCATGAGAGCGGTCCCTTGCTTGGGGAGGCTTCCACAGCTGAGCTGGGTGGAAACAGATCCTATGCCAGGAGGAAAAGGGCTGACCAGAAGGCAGATCTGGACCAGTTGTCTTTGGGGCAGGTAGGGCAGCAATAGCTATGAAGATCTGGGGAGCCTGGCAGTACTGGCTGGAGCGTAGCAAAGGGCGTTAACGGGTAAGCAGAGAGGGAGATCTGAGGCTCCTTTACGGTGACAAGCAACTGGGACAGCTGGAAGGGGCTCAGCTGCTTACCACAGCAGATAGCTGTGAGGAGTGTAGCACAGTGGCTGGGACGTCGCAGGAATCACTCTTGCCCTCAATGCTCAGACTTTCAGATTCCCGGAAGCTGCAGCTTAACACAAGCAGGGGATGTCTGCAAAATGCCAGTCTTGGTGGCTTGGGAGGTGTTGGGGAGGTGGAGCCCCTCCTAACCCAGAGCAGAGACAGGTCTGCCCCAGGAAAGGAGAGCTGCAGGCACAGAGGAATTGTTTGCATATAATCAACAGAACATTTTGTATCTGTGTAGCTGCCAAATGCCAAAATGCAAATGGCTCAGCCTGAATTGGGGTAGGTGCTGTAGGGAGAGACTCAGGGGGCCTGGGCTGAGCAGCGGGGACAGACAGACTGTGCTGTCGGCTGCTTTCCAGAGCAGTAGTGATGCTGGGGAGGCTGACTCAGCAGGTAGCTCAAATGTATATTCACCTGGTTCAGTATCAAGTCCCCAAACCAAGCATAGTTCAGACCTACCGATTTGTGCACTGCAGTGGCCAGTGCAGTTACTGCAGACAGGTTCCCCTAGGAAATGCCTCCTTTTCTTTTCTGACTGATGGTACTGTGCAGGGATGCTGGGCTTCTGCAGGCCCCTGGGGCACACTGCAGCTTGCGTTCTCCTCTCTGGGACACTAGATGAGGTTTGGGGAAAGCTCAGGAGATGCTCATTTTATTCATCACTGTATTATGTGGATTATTAGTTCGTAATCAGCATCCAGATGCTCTCAAAGACTTCTATCCTGGGGCTGTGTGGGGACATACGGTATTTAGATCGGAGGGGTCTTGTAGGGAGAAGGGGTAGAAAATTTTCAGTTTGTGTCCTTTGAAGATGAGCTTTTCCATGGGGTCCTGTTGGTGGGTTAGAGGCTCTGACCCCATAACCATTTTGGAGATGTACAGGGTTTGAGAAGAGGAGAGGCCATGTGACACGCTCTTAGCACTGGGCTGCAGGACTTGCCTTGCACTTGGCACTGAGCAGATCGTGTGCGTGCACCTGGCAGGATCTTCAAAGTTGCTGTGCTTCATTTCAGAATTTGGCCTAGTCGTTAAACACAACTGCTGCTCCCTTAGTGTCTCTTGGGGGAGCAGAAGGCCATGTAATTGAGCCACAGCAGCGGGGCAGTCGCTGGAAGCAGTCACACTGCTCCTGCTTCCAAGCACTTAGCTACAAATGAGCAGAGACAAATAGGTGTTTAATGCACCCGCTGCTCCCCTACAGGCCTCTGGGAAAGGAAGTCACAAGGAGCAGGGAGATCCTGCTGCTGACGTCTGTGCTGCTCTCCTCTCCAGGAAGGACTGGGGATGCTGCCATGTGTGGCACATTCGTGTAGGCCCTGTGTGTGCAGAGGCTGGAGCAGAGCCTGGCAGGGAAAATCATCTTACTTTGCCTGTTCACAAGTGGCTCAGAGAATTCCCCCCTGCCAGTTTCTGTGGGTGTCTGGAGGAGAGGGGCAAGAGTAGGTGGGGGGCTGTGTTTGGCCACGCCGGCCCATGCCTTCTGAAATGGGAGACTCCACAAGCAGAGCATGCCACAGATGTTCACTCATTTCAAACGACAAGCCTAAAAGCAGAGGGAGGATTTCTACGTCCACTGCTCCTGTACCACTCTAGTACAGAGGAGTGTGTGGTTCTGGAGAGGGCTCTGCAAAGAATTAAAATGGGGAGACCCAGCCACAAGCTAAAGACAATGGCTTTGAACGTCTTCCTCACCCAGAAAGTCAGTCATCAGCTGTCTCCACTGACTGGCTGCGAGTCCTGTTTCCAGCCAGATTTCTGGTGCTGGTGAGGGGATTTAACACCTTGACGGGGAGCACGTGGCTACAACAGTATGAGGCACTTCTTTCAGTGATGTCTTTGCACTGGTTCCTGCCATCTCCCTGAGGTTAGATGGCACTTTGGGGGTTTCCTTCTGAGGAATATCAGACCTGTGGGAAAGGTCCAACCTCACATGTCCTGTATAGAATAAAGAGGGATATATGTGGTCAGACCTATCCCACAGGCCCTGTATTCTTACTCAAGTGCAGAGACCTTCACATGCCATCTGATCTTCATCCCACCAATTTCATCCCCTTCATTGCTGCCATCTGCATCACTGTCTTCATCATTCACCTCTCTCGTGTTTCGAATTCCTGCATGCTCCCATCTCATCCATGAGGAACCAGAGGCCTGAGGATGAGCACAGCTTGCTGCCAGGACCCTCACCAGCAGGAAACAGCACTGTGCTAGCACACGGGTTCCAGGAGATAGTCTCTGTTGGGGTGGCCAGTCACAGTCCTCATGGCAGTCCAGGGCAGGGCCCTGCTTTGGTACAGGCTAAGTGCAAAGTCCCGCCTTTTGTGTTTTTCTGTAGGGGTGTGTTTGTCACATTGACAGCCAGCAACTGGGATTTCTGGGAAGCGTCTGCAGCACTTAGTGAGGAGAATACAGCACCTTTCAAATTAAGCACATCCTGTGGCGGTTTTGGGTCAGATGAGCTGTCAAGCCAAAGCAAATGTGCAAAACAGCCTGTATTGTTCCTGGAGCAGAAATATCGATGGGCCGCTGGGAAACGATCTTCTGCAAACATTGCGCTTATTGCTGTAAAGCCAGAGAATAATGATTCCTCACAGGTTTTCAGCATTCAAAAGGTTATTTATGAACCCCTTGCGTAAAAGGGCATATGTGCTGAGGAAAGCAACCGAGCATCTGTGGTCTTGCACTCAGGCGTTTCTTGCGTAAGTGTAATCGAGAAAAAGCATGTGTGTCTGTGGCCACATATCCAACTTGTGAGCTCACGAAGGTAACGGTGTCAGTGACCATCTGTATGGGGTTGTGTAGGTGTTTCTTAGTTAAAGAAGCTGGGTTTGACCGAGGCGATGGGCTCAGTGTAGCCAGGCCTGGTTGGGGAGCATTTCCTTTTGGTGGCTCTGTTCTGTGGGTGTTGCAGCATTCTCACTTCATTTTCCCTTGGAAGCAGGCCTTTTGTGCTTGAGGGTCTAGGGGACTTTGGAGTTGGTGTGCTGAGGAAGCCTGTGGATTTTTAGGTTTTTGCTCTTTGTGCTGTAATCAGAGTTGAGCAAAAGAATCTGTGACTCTTCAACTATGATCCTGGATAGCTGGTGCTTTGAGTGAGAGCGGGTGGAAAACCTTTTTCCAGTATGATAGCACTCTTGAATCTTCTAAGTTTAACTGTTGAGGGCTGGAACTAGAGCCTCCCTGGGCATTTTCTGCTCCCCTACCTGTATTCAGGTGGGGATGAACCAATTCTGTGAAGTGACCTTCCAGTACTCTACAGGAGCTAAAACATATGGTTGGGAGGTGGAGTACTTGGGCAGGACTGTGTGCTCCCAGGGAGCTGGCGTCTCTCTGCCACGTGACAGCATTGCGTCACAGTGAGTAAACATAGTGCAGGGGTGAGTAAACATAGTGCATCCACCTGGGAGAAGTGAGGGACAAGGGAAGTTTGCCTTATGGAGAAAAACTGACATCTGAAATTGCCTGCAAGTATTTAACCTCTTTGCCAGCAAATATCCCAGCCCTTTTGTTTACATCTGGGAAGTGTAAGAGGGTGTCAGAAATAATGGAGCAGAAGCTGTCTTAGCAGCCTCTAGGGTGCTGACCAGCCTGACACCTCCTTCTGCAGCCCAGGGATGCTAAAAGGGCACTGGCCAGCCCTTTGCTCCTAGTACTCAGGTTCCATGTGTAGGAAAAAGGTGAGCTAAACTGGGGCACATGCAGAGATGTTCCCAAGAAGTCACTTCAGTTGTTTGGGAGCTTCCTGGAACTGGTAGAATTCAGCAGTGGCACAGGCAACGCTTTCTCTGCACCCTTTGCTGTAGCTAAACGCTGAGGGAGCAAAGCTGACCCTCTGCTGAGCATGGGCTGCAGGATGGGGCTGTCGGTGGGTGGTTTGCAAAGCCAGGAAGAAGCCAGCTGCTAGACTGGAAGTTCCTGAACTGTTGTGAATTAAATTTGGCCACTGCTGCTTGATAAAACCATTGTCCCAGGCAGAGCTTCTCACTGCACTTCTGTCTGTGTAAATGTTAAAGTTAAGGTTTGTATGCGCACTTACACAGCAGCTCTGGTGCCTCCTCACTCTGGGCCATACACAAAGCTCAGCTCTGTGCTTTAGGTTTGAAAAGCCTGAGTGCGGGCAGGCGGTCACGGGGAGGGGCACCCCAAGGAAAGTCACTTGAGCAAAGACAGGAGTTGACATCAGGGATATGTCATGAGCAGGGAGGACTGAAACAGTGTCTGTGGCGCCAAACACACGCTGAGCTGTGCTGCCACCCATCTGTAGCAAATCATTTACGGGGGCTGCATGTTTTGCTCATGGAGAAACCTCCAGCATTAGTCAGCAAGGAAACGGCTCCTGCTCCCACCAGCCTGGACTTTCTCCAGTGTGGTCCAAGTGCCCACAGTTGTGTCTGCAAAGGAGCTCAGAGTAAGGGGTTCCCCAGAGAGCCCCAGCCCCAGCAGGTGACTAATGCTCCTATCCTACCTTTGCTCCCTCCAGAACGGGCTGAACGCCTTGCACCTGGCCTCCAAGGAGGGCCATGTGAAAATGGTGGTGGAGCTGCTGCACAAGGAGATCATTTTGGAGACAATGACCAAGGTGAGGAAAGGGAGTCTGGTCACATTAGTCACAACTCTGCACCACCCTGCCATTGCTGCCAGACACACCAGCAGTAGCTGAGCAGTGAATCACGCTGTTTGCTTTGAGCCCCTGGAAAGGCTGTGCTGGTGGCACGGGCACCAGACTCTGATTTCAGTACAGTTGAAGCCATGCTGGGCACCTCCAGGTGGGTGGGAGGTTCCTCTCCACCCATGCCTCTCCCCATGGGGGCCACTGTGAGCTCAGGAGGGGAGTAACAGAAGCCACAACACGTGCTAGTGCTGTCTTTACTCAAATCTCCTCCCAGCACTGGCTGTCAGCTCAAGTCAGCCCTCGCCCCAGGGCAGCCCCTTTGTGCTGCAACGCTGAGATGGCCTTGGTGCCATTGTTGCAAACCTGGAGAGCTCTGGTGCTCCGTAAATAACATATTATTCTCTCCTTGCATCACCACAGCGGGGTGTGGTTCTTGCTCGGTGACAAGTGAGACAACGGCATAAGCAAGCAGAGCTGACAAATGAGCAGCCTCCAGCACCATCTGAAGGGCTGTGAGAGCAGGAGGGGGCCTGGCTTGCCATCTCCCCGGTGCTCTGGCAGGGCTCAGGGTGCGGAGCAGAATCTGGCATTCTGCCACACCACTCAAAGGCACTTGTGTCTGCATTTTCCAGCCTGCTTATCATCCCTTAGCTCTGCTGGGATGCCTTGGCTACCAGGGTGCACACTGCAGTTTTGTCTGAAGACTGCCAGCTTAGCTCCCCCATTCTCCCTCCCCTCCTCATCTCTTGGTACTGGAGATACACAGAGCCTGACAATGCATACAGCTTTTGCTGCCAGTAACTTCATGGGAGGGATGAAATAATTCTCTTCCCTGGCCAGCAAATGTGAAAGGTAGCTGCCTGGTCTATAGCAGGGGTGGGGCATGGAGCAAGGCCTCCATGGCCCCACAGGCTTCCCCTGGCCAGCTGCTCTGTTTGCATGTGTGTTAGCATATGTCAGGCCCATCATTCCCTGGCATTCTGGGCTGCACCAGCCCCTGAGCGCTGCCCTGTGGTGTCTTTCAGAAGGGAAACACAGCCCTGCACATTGCTGCCCTGGCTGGACAACAGGACGTGGTCCGGGAACTGGTGAACTACGGGGCCAACGTCAATGTGCAGTCACAGGTAGAGTGATCTGGGCTGGGGTGGGAAAAGCACCTCATGGTCCACATGGTGGGAACTATGCCCAGCATGGGCACTTCAGCAGCCCTTTACAGTTTTTCTCTAGTCCTGTTCAGGGGCCAGGACTGCTCTGCCAGACTCCTGAGAGAAGACGAGTGTGCGAGTGGTGGGGAGGGAGTCTTGAGGGTATGGGGAGACCAGCATGGTCTCTTTGCTGAGGGAGTCCCTGGCAGCACACACAAGCATGCTGAACTCATCCTGGGAGGACTCGTGACCGATGCCTCCCTGGCACAGCAATGAGGTCTCCAGCAACCTCTGCAGCTCTGCACACTGTGCCTCCTTCCTTCCCTCTTTCTTGGGCCTGGTGGGGCTGCAAGCTCTTCAGCTTTTGCCTGGTGGGAGAAATGTCCCTGAAACGAGGGAGTAGTGGCAGTGAGTGGAAGGCAGTGTCTCCTGAGTTGACTGTTGTTGTGAACCATCCCCTGGTTCTTTCTGGATATGGGGAGCCTTGGGCTCCAGTTCTTTGTGACTGCTGCACCGTTGCCAGTTTTTTCCTTTTTCCCACCCACACTGTGTAAGCTTTTGCCCCAGTTCAATGAGCTGGGGATGTGGGTGTTGATGGGGTGTAGGTCTGCAAGGAGCTTGAGAAACTTGAGGAAGAGTTGTGTTCATGTGGATGGCCCTGTGTTTGCAGAAAGGCTTCACACCCCTCTACATGGCAGCACAGGAAAACCACCTGGAAGTTGTCAAGTTCTTGCTGGAAAATGGAGCCAACCAGAATGTAGCCACAGAGGTGAGATCCTTGGAGAGGACCCTAGGGTCCTGCTTGTTGGGCATGCTGTTGGATGTGCCAGGTGCTGCCATGGCTCCTCGGCTCTCCCCCTCTCCCCTGCCTCTCCTTGGCAGGACGGCTTCACGCCACTAGCTGTGGCTCTGCAGCAAGGGCATGAGAACGTGGTTGCTCACCTTATCAACTATGGGACAAAGGGTAAGGTCCGCCTGCCTGCCCTTCACATTGCAGCCCGCAACGATGACACTCGCACAGCTGCCGTGCTGTTGCAGAATGATCCCAATGCTGACGTCCTCTCCAAGGTGTGTGGCTTTCCCATCCTGTCTCTGGGAGCTTTCCCACATCCCCAGGGAGAACAGCAGCTTGGTATGCTGTATTTATCCATCCTTTCAGCAGAAAGCATGTGTCTGGCTGGGCTGATCCCTCCTTCTTTCCCCTAGACTGGATTTACCCCCTTGCACATTGCAGCCCACTACGAGAATCTCAGTGTCTTTTTTTTCCGTGGAGCCAGTGTCAACTTCACACCCCAGGTGAGTGCAAAGTGGGGAGGCTGCTGGGACTAGTACTGCTCCAGCACCAGAGGAGGATGCTGTGCCTCCTTTCCATGTAGGTGCAGCAGCAGCTTCCAGGGTACGCTGGTGAGGTGGGACCATGCAGAAGGTAGCACACTGATGTGTATCTGGGGAGTTGCCATTAATAACCAGCGTGGGCCTTTTCTACTATGTCTCCCCTCTGGTGGATGCAGCCATGCATCCTTGGAAGCTCTTGGGACCTTGTGTCCAGGCTGTCGCTGCAGGGCAGAGCTTATAGCCCCTGCAGTTGGTGTGCCTCTTCCAGTCCCCCGGGTGCAGCCAAATCTGTGAGCTGGCGCTTTCCTGCGAGGTCTGTGCAGCTTCTGTCCACAGCCTTTACCTGCAGGCAGGAGCAGGTGCTTACCCTCTCTCCCAGCCCTGTGAAACAAACTGTTCCCCTGCGCCGTCCCTGGGCAGGGATTTAGCTCTCCGCTGCCCTCTGTCCTTTGTTCGTCCTATGCCTCCTTCTAGCCCTGCCGGGAAAAGAGAAGGGGTTGCTCCCTCTAACAGACTGCTGTTCCTTCTGTCAGAATGGGATTACTCCCCTGCACATAGCTTCTCGCCGGGGCAACATCATCATGGTACGGCTGCTGCTGGATCGTGGGGCCCAGATAGAGACAAGGACCAAGGTGAGACCGCTTCTGAATCACCAACAAGTAAACGGGCCGTCTCCCTCCCCAAGCTCCTTGCATCCAGGGAGCACTGCAGTGCTGCACTGCCCAGTGCATACCCTGTGAACCTCTTGCTGGGTGTGTGAGGGAAGGTCCCTTGTGCACTAAGGGGATAGACCAAGTTTTTCGCTGGTGCATGTAGAGGTGAGAGGAGGCTGCATGGCTACAGTGGGTGTGCCCTGGGGGCTGAGGGCAGGCTCAGTTTTGCCTTATTTTGCAACAAGTCCAAAGTTTCTGTTACTCTCCTGCCTGAGGGGAGCCCTGCCCTTCCTTGCCCTTGAACTCTTCTCTCTCCCCAGGATGAGTTGACCCCTCTCCACTGTGCAGCTCGCAATGGACATGTGCGAATTGCAGAGATCCTGCTGGACCACGGGGCTCCCATTCAAGCCAAAACCAAGGTACCCATGGGACTCTGTGGGGTTGTGCTTGGTGCCAAGTCCCAGGGCAGCACAGGGGGTTAACAAGCTGTGCACAGTTGCTGGATGCCACCCATGGCTGGGCTGGGGCTGATTTTTTTGCCTGCCAAGGGGCAAGGAGCTTCCTGACCTCCTCCTTGGCCCTAGCTGGAGCCCTTTGTCTCAGGGCTGCATGCTTGAAAGGGCCCAGCTCTGAGAAGGAGATGGCCTGGGGACAGCCTGCCTCATGGCCACAGCTCTTCAGGCCCTGCCCTCTGCTCAGCATTGCTCCTCTGTAAGTCTCGGTGAGGGATTTCAGGGCTCCTCTCTGGTAGCACCCTGGGGAACATCCTGTGGCCAGGAGACTGAGGCAGGGGCTGGGTGGGATGCCTGGTCCCCCTCCTCACCCAGCCCTGAGGCCCTGCTCCGCGGTTGCAGAATGGCTTGTCGCCGATCCACATGGCAGCGCAGGGCGACCACCTGGACTGCGTGCGCCTGCTGCTGCAGTACAGTGCCGAGATTGACGACATCACCCTGGATCACCTAACGCCACTGCATGTGGCTGCGCACTGCGGGCATCACCGGGTGGCCAAGCTGCTGGTGGAGAAGGGGGCCAAGCCCAACTCCCGAGCCCTGGTGAGTGAGGAGGGGCAGGCAGCGCTGGGGTGGAGGAGAGGGAGGGTGTTCTCGCAAATGACTGTCTATCTGTCCATCTGTAGAATGGCTTCACACCCCTCCATATTGCCTGCAAGAAGAACCACATCCGGGTGATGGAGCTGCTGCTGAAGACAGGTGCCTCCATTGATGCCGTCACGGAGGTAGGTGGGCTGCAGCCCAGCCCCAGCTCTCCTGCTGCTGCCTGTGCAGAGCAGGCAGCGCTGCAGGGGATGATGACCCTGTTGCCTCTGCTGGTCCCCAGGCACCTTCTTCATTGTGGCTTAGAGCTCTTTGCAGCTCAGGACCTGTTGAGCTTAGCAGCATCTCCCCACAGTCTGCTCCCTACAGGGGGACTGCAGGGAAGGCAGCAGCTCTCCGTGTTCCCCTCAGCTCACCTGCCAGGCGGCTGGAGCCAGGCTGGGGACCCAGAGTTTGCCTCTGTGCTGGAGTGTGCCCCGGGGAGGGGAAGGAGGGGGCAGGAAGAGATGTTGGCAAGGCCAGCAGCCCCCATCTTGGCCCCTGGCCCCTTTCTCTCCACAGTCCGGCCTGACCCCCCTGCATGTGGCCGCCTTCATGGGGCACCTGCCCATCGTCAAGACCCTGCTGCAGCGTGGAGCCTCTCCTAATGTGTCCAATGTGGTGAGTCCCACCCTGGCTGGGGCTGGGGCTCCAGCATGGCAGGGTCCAGCAGGAGGTGGGGATTGTCCAAGCCCTGCTCTCTCTGCTCTCCTGAGCAATCCCTGGTGCCCCCCTGCTTTGTGCTGGCAGGAGGAACCAGTAGGGCCCAGAAAAGGTCGTGGGCACTGCTCTCCTGTGCTCAGACCGGAGGAACAACTGCAGGAAGGCATATCCCCTCCTACGGCCTCACCACTTTATCCTGTCCTTGGTGCAGAAAGTGGAGACGCCCCTACACATGGCAGCCAGAGCTGGGCACACGGATGTGGCAAAGTATCTGCTGCAGAACAAAGCCAAAGCCAATGCCAAGGCCAAGGTAGGTACAGAGAACCTGTGTGATAGTCCAGCTCTGGGAACAGCCAGTGCTCATTTCTTCACTCGCGCCTACCCAGAGCCCAGCCTGCCAGAGGCTGTGCAACAGTAGGAGCAGGGCTGGGGCCCCGCATGGCATGGCAAGCGAGGAACTGGTCCAGGGCTGCCAAAACAGCTTCTCTGCCTCCCTTACAGGATGACCAGACTCCTCTGCACTGTGCTGCACGCATCGGCCACACTGGCATGGTCAAACTCCTGCTGGAGAACAACGCCAACCCCAACCTGGCCACAACAGCAGGGCACACGCCCCTGCACATCACCGCCAGAGAGGGGCATGTGGACACGGCTGTGGCCCTGCTAGAGAAGGGCGCCTCACAGACCTGCATGACCAAGGTAGGCTGCTGTGACCACTGCTGCTGAAGGCGTGACTCAGCTGGGCCAAGGCTAGGCATGCTGGTGGCACAGTGTCCCTGTCACAGGAAGGGCAGCCTCCTCCTGTGCCACAGCATGCGCCAGTGCTCTCCTCCTCATCCCTGTACACCCTGTGATGGGCTGCCTTTCTCCTCAGAAAGGATTCACGCCTCTCCACGTTGCAGCCAAGTACGGGAAGGTGGATGTGGCAGAGCTGCTGCTAGCATGTGACGCTCACCCCAGTGCCGCAGGGAAGGTGAGTGCTGCTCCTGTGGCAGTGGGAGGAGTGGTGTGGTATGGGGAGAGGCTCTGTCTCACCTGTCTGTGCCCTCTCCCCCTCCCCAGAACGGCCTGACCCCGCTGCATGTGGCTGTGCACCACAACAACCTGGAGATTGTCAAGCTGCTGCTTCCCAAGGGGAGCTCCCCGCACAGCTCAGCCTGGGTAAGGCTGGACTGGGTGTCCCCGGGGATGTGTTGTGTGTCCGATGCATGCCAGCCTGGGGCCAGCATTGCCCCTCAAACCTGACACTCAGGGAGTGTGCAAGGGACTGATCACCACCAGCCACTCTCCATGCCTGCTGCTCATGCCTGCCTGTCCCTTGCACCAGCACGTGGGGCAGGCAGGGATGCTGGGGGGTCGTCCTGTTCCAGCAGGCAGGCTATGTCAGGGATAGTCCCTGCTGGCAGCGTTGTAGCTGTTGCTTGGGGACATGTTTCCATGGCAAGCCCTGCGGAGCAGCGCTGCGGTCTGGCAGTTTGGGAAACCACACATGAATGTTTGCATGCAGCTATGAAGCAGTGAGTCAGAATACCCATGAGCTTGTGAGAGTTGCCCTGCTCTGCCTAAGCATGGGGAATATCTCCCCAGAGAGCAGACCAGCAGCCTTGGTTTCCACGTTGTTTGCAGAAGCTGCATCCTCAGAACAGAGAAGTGGCTGCTGGTGCCGGCCGTCCCCATCTGGCACTCCCCTCTCCCCCTGCGCAGGCTGCCGGCAGACTTGCTGGGCAGGCATCGGGAGCAGCCGGTACCGGCGCCAATCCCCCGTTGGTCTGCGTCACTGACAGCCTGCGCGTCACCCTGGGCAGCGGGTGTCTGCCAGCTGCTTTGCTCCTGCAGTGTGGCAGCAAAGGCAGTGCTCAAGGCCGTGCAGTCTCTGCCTGAATACTAATCCTGCATATTGTGAGTTTTGCTCCACACCTCAGCCAGACATGTTCTAGGAGGTGTCTGTCTGCCCTGGCATCTCACAGCTCCAGGTGACTGAATACTGCTGTAGAAATTCATGTGTGGAAAACTCCAGGACAGCCAATGCCAGTCGAACCTGAAGCAGGTGGTCTCTGAAACCCCTGTGCTGACTTGGCTGGAAGAGTGGGATTTGGCCTCAGCATCAGGGCTAGTTGCTCTCAGGGAGACGGTTCGCGTGTGAGCCTGCATCCCTGAGCTCTGGAGGTGACTAGGAAGGGCAGGCCTGGCCTGGAGAGGCAAGGTGGCACCTTCTGTCCCTGCTGGTCTGCTCGGCAGGGGCTGAGCGCTGCAATGAGCCTCTCTCCCTGCAGAACGGGTACACCCCCCTGCACATTGCTGCCAAGCAAAACCAGATGGAGGTGGCCAGCAGCTTGCTGCAGTACGGGGCTTCTGCAAATGCGGAGTCTGTGCAGGGAGTCACCCCCCTACACCTGGCTTCCCAGGAGGGGCATGCAGACATGGTGGCTCTGCTTTTCTCCAAACAAGCCAACGGCGACCTAGGCAACAAGGTAAGTTCTCCCGGTGCATCCTGCCAGGTTGGAGGCGAACACCCTGGCAAGCAGTAGCAGACAGGGTGGTAGTCCAGGCCCCAGAGCCTCCCTGCATTCGGGCAGCAGTGTGCTGGCCCACAGCACAGTGTCAGTCAATTTGCCAGGTTGGCAACCTGACTTAGAGTCTCTGCTGGTAGAGCTGCAGTGATGGCATTGCCACTGTGCTGAGACCTCCTCTGTTTGCAGAGTGGCCTGACTCCTCTCCATCTCGTGGCCCAAGAGGGGCATGTGCTGGTTGCTGATGTTCTGGTGAAACACGGCGTCACAGTGGATGCAACAACCAGGGTAAAGTAGTGCATTGACCATGGCTGTGGTGAAAAACATGTGGGGGAACTACCTCTAGGCCTGCTCCAGGAGGAGCGTTGCTTTTCTTTTTCTTTGTGCAAAAGTATCCCCTCTCGCAGGCATCCTTACCATCTTGTCTGTGTCTTGGGGACTCTTCTTCCTCTTCTCCCCCACGTCCCTGGAGGGATGATTCTTGCCTGCTCCCACAGCTCATGCCTGTACCCCTTAGCACAATGTGGTGTGGTCTGCAGTGTGCCCTCTGCCCTGGTCCTGGGCTCTCGGGCAGCACCTGCACGCGTGCCCTGTCCTTCATCCATGGGGGCTTGCCCATGGGATGAGCATACCCAAGCCAGAAGGGTGGGAAGCGCCGCTGAGGGCAGGCTGAGACCTGATCTCGTCTTTCAGATGGGCTATACCCCGCTGCATGTGGCCAGCCACTATGGGAACATCAAGCTGGTGAAGTTTTTGCTGCAGCACCAGGCTGATGTCAATGCCAAGACTAAGGTACAGAGATGTCCTGTGCTCCAAGGCCCTTTCTGCTCCAAGGCAACGGCATGCAGGTTGATGGGAAAGGTTTAGCCTCCCTCCCTGCTTCCACTTCTCCCCCCCACATTGCTCCAAGCCCTCCTGTCTCCATGGCTGGAAGCTGCTGTAGTCTAGCTACAGCCCTGGGCAAGTGCTGGGTTCTGCAGAGCCCTTTGCTTACCCTGGAAAGGAGGGAGTCGCCCTCGTGCTCCAGGCATGAAGCACAGTGTGAGGCCTGGGGGCATTTCTGGGGCAGCAGACTCACAGAACTGATGGCAGCACCCTCTGTCCTCCCCTGCAGCTGGGCTACACCCCTCTGCACCAAGCGGCACAGCAGGGCCACACGGATGTTGTGACACTGCTGCTGAAGCATGGTGCCTCTCCCAATGAGATCAGCACAGTGAGTACAGCACTTGCGTGCACCTCCTCGCCCCATGGCAAGCTTGGGCGCCTGCCCGGGCTTCCCTGTGGCTGCTGCTGACCTAGTCCTTCCTCCTCGTGCAGAATGGCACCACTCCCCTGGCCATCGCAAAGCGGCTTGGCTACATTTCCGTCACAGACGTGCTCAAGATCGTCACAGAGGAAACCGACATCCCGGTGAGCCCCTGGGGACTGGGACCAGGAGCCTGTGGAGGAGGGCTGGGGCTGGGAGCAGCCAGGCAAAGGTCCGCTGAGCGCAGCTGGGCAGGGCGAGTGCTATCAGCTGGGTGCCTAGCCCGGGCCTAAGGAGGGGGCTGCAGGTGGCTGCGCAGCGAAGGGCTGGCCTCCTCTGACTCTGCTCTGCTCCCACAGTCAGTTGGTGACAAGCACCGTATGAGCTTCCCGGAGACTGTAGATGAGATTCTGGACGTGTCAGAGGATGAAGGTGAGGGGCCGGAGCTGGGTCGTACCATCCCAGAGATCTGCCGGCTGGGCCAGTGTGGCAGGCAGCAGCCCCCGGAGACGGGCACTGGTGTTCCAGACGGCCGGGGTGGGGGAGCTGTGTGGCCAGCAAGTGGCTCTGCCACTCCCCTCCGCTGAGGGGAGCCCAGCAGACTCCTGGGGTCGCACCTCCTGGCTCAGGTGCTTCCCTGCGCTATGCAGGAGGGATATTCCTGGACCTCTCCATGGTCCCATGCCCCAGGGACAGTGTGCAGAGAGCCTTTGGGCATGCAGAGCCCCTCACCATCCCCTGCTCCATGGGGTGGTACCAGCTCCCAGCTCAGCTGCAGCTGGTCCTCTCCTGCTCCCTCCCACCAAGACCTCACCTTTGCCTCTTCTTACTTTGCAGGCACTGCTCATGTCACAGTAATGGGTATGAAATGTGTCCCCCTGCCCCAGCTCAATGGCCCATTTCACCCCATGGCCACTAACCATCCACATGCCACATCCATCTGCTGTGCCCTGCTGCTGGGCTGGTGCTATCCAGCGCAGGCCCTGCCATCCCGCCCTGCCCATCTGTGTCCGTGCTGCTTGCTGTGGTGTGACTGCCTGAATGGGACCGACCCCCTGCCTGGGGGCAGCCCGAGCCCTGGCTCCCTGTCGGCCCCAGGCCCTGTCCCCGGTAGGCGGAAGAGCCTGGTTCTGCGACAAACTCCAGTGCCCCTCCACAACCACCCTGTGCTGTCCTGGCCAGGGCAGGGATGAACCTGAGTGCTCAAGGGTCTGTGCTGCTACAGTCCCCTCCCCATCACTGGGGCTATCTCTCTGCTTTGGGAGGTGCTGGACCCCCTCCCATAGGGCATTGGTGAGAGCCGAACCCTGGTGAACTCCTTAGCAGGTGTTAATTGGGCCAGCAGGCAGCGCTGGCTGGGCTTGTGCCTCCAAGGGGGGTGCGCGGATGCACTAGGCAGTGTTAGGGCATCCTTCCCACAACCCCAGCCCTGCCTACACTCCTGTCCCCAGCATCCAATGGCAGGGTATCCTGGCAGGCTCTGCTCTGTGCTCTGCTCGGTGCTTGGTGCTGGGGGAGAGGCATCGGCTAGCAGCCGAGGCTCCTGACAGCTACCACAGCTCCTGTCCCACTGACCCGCAGCACGGGCCTTGCCCCTGCCAGCAGACCCCATCTGGCAGAGGGCAAAGCCACGCCGTGGCTGACTGAGACTCAGGGGACGAGTGTGTGTGTCCAGCAGTGGGAGCAGAAATGGGCCCTGGCTCCAGCCCTGAAGAGGGACGGGGCAAGGGCTGGACATCTGTGCTCTCTTGTCCTTCTGCCTCTCTGCATGCTGAGCCAGCTCTTGGTTTCAGAGGAGGAGCTGATTGCACCAAAGCCCAGGACACCTGATCCCAGGGACCAGGAGGGCAAGAGGGAGATGCTGGAGTTTGTGACCACAATGACACTGGAGCAAACGTAAGAGGCACTGGATGGTGGGGAAGTAGTGGGTACAGGGCATGGGGCCAGCCTGGTGCTGGGCTGGGATGCCAGCAGGGCAGGGACAGCTCTGGGCAAGGAATGGATCACTGAGCCCCCACTGGCTAGCATAGCAGGCAAAGCTAGTTGGTGTTATTCCTGCACCAGGACATGGGTCTGCTCCTGAGTTTGCTTTCGTCCAGCATCCCTGGGACTCCCTGGGGATAGCCAGGGGCTGAAACGCCAAGGCCTG